ATTTATATCATGCCAATTTTTTCATATTCATAAAAGAAGTTGCCTGGGAGCTATGAATAATGTTATAGGTTAATGCTGCTCGTCTCCCTATTGTGGTAGGCGGATTGCTTGATGTGGATTGTTCAGAGGATGCGATCAAGCAGCTGATTTTGAACACTCGTGGCAAGTTTGACATTGATGAACTTGTGGCTGAGGTTGAGAAGAGGAACAGGTAAGAATTTTGATATTGCTAGTCTGTTTTCATTTCAGAGCGCAATTTTTTAGGCTGAAGTTGCTGTCACACTGGCTTGAGACTCGTGTCCAAGAAGGAGCCACTGATGCTGCCACACACAATGCGATGGCTAAGATTTACATAGATTCTAATAACAATCCAGATAGATTCCTTAGGGAGAACCCATATTATGACAGCCGAGTGGTTGGGAAGTAAGTGATTGACTTTTCCCGAAGATTAATGGTTGTTCAATTTGTCGTTGTGTAGGTACTGCGAGAAGCGCGATCCGCACTTTGCCTTCCTCGCTTATGAGCGTGGACAATGTGATGCTGAGTTGATTGCTGTTTGCAATGAAAACTCCTTGTTCAAGAATCTTGCTCGATATCTTGTACGAAGACGTGATTATGGACTTTGGGAGCAAGTTCTGAATGAGGAGAATCAGTATAGAAGGCAGTTGATTGATCAAGTAAGTTTTAGCTCAAAAATCTTTTATTTATTGAGTGTAGATAATTGCTTTAAGGTTGTTCAAACTGCCCTGTCTGAAACCCAAGACCCTGAAGACATATCAGCGACCGTGAAAGCGTTCATGGCAGCCGACCTACCAAATGAGCTGATAGAATTGTTGGAAAAGATTGTTCTGGATAACTCTGCATTCTCAGAGCATCGTAACCTTCAGAATCTGCTCATCTTGACTGCAATGAGGGTGAGTCTGCAAAAATCAGCAAATTTATAAGTGACATGGTGATGAGAAAGGATAATATCGTTAATCCAGGCTGATCGTTCGCGTGTAATGGAGTACATCCAAAAACTGGACAACTATGAT